ATGTCTTTATTAGAGATGGGGTTTCACCATGTTGGCCAGGCTGGTCTCAAACTCCTGACCTTGTGATCCACCCACTTCGGCCCCCCAAAATGCTGGGATTACAGGCACAGCACCCAGCCACATGTAGTTTTTTTAAATAATAGATTTATTGAGCTAGAATTCACAAATCTTGACATGCACTTTTTTTTACAATGTATAATTCATTGGTTTTTAGCGTAATTACAGATTGTATAACTAACACCGCTAAATAATTTTAGGACATTTTCATCACCTGAAAAATGAAACCTCATACTCATTTATGATCACTTCCTATTCTCCCTCTCTCAACTCTTGGCAGCCACTAACCTGCTTTCTGTGTCTGGATTTGTCTATTCTGAACATTTCATTTAAATGGAGTCATACAATATGTGGTCTTTTGTGGTTGGCTTCTTTTACTTAGCATAATATTTTTGAGTTTCATCCATGCTGTAGAATGTATCAGTACTTAATTTGTTTTTTTTTTTTTCTTTTTTTTTTTGAGACGGAGTTTCACTCATGTTACCCAGGCTGGAGTGCAATGGTGCGATCTCGGCTCACCGCAACCTCCGCCTCCTGGGTTCAGGCAATTCTCCTGCCTCAGCCTCCTGAGTAGCTGGGATTACAGGCACGCACCACCATGCCCAGCTAATTTTTTGTGTTTTTAGTAGAGACGGGGTTTCACCATGTTGACCGGGATGGTCTTGATCTCTTGACCTCGTGATCCACCCGCCTCGGCCTCCCAAAGTGCTGGGATTACAGGCGTAAGCCACCGCGCCGGGCCCTATGTTCTCTCTTTATAATCTTTTGTTAGTTGGAATTTATATCTTCTGGATTCGTACTCTTATTTTCTTTTCTGTCCTGACATTCAGTCTTTTCATTTAATTTTCTGAGAACTTTCTTCAACTGTTTTGCAAATTTTCTTTTTTTTTTTTTCCCATTTATTTATTTTATTGCATTTTAGGTTTTGGGGTACATGTGAAGAACATGCAAGATTGTTGCATAGGTACACAACGTGGCAGTGTGATTTGCTGCCTTCCTCCCCATCACCTACATCTGGTATCTCTCCCCTTGCTATCTCTCCCCAGCTCCCCCCCCCCCCCCCTCCCTCCCCTATTTCCCCCCAACTGACCCCAGTGTGTAGCTCTCCCCTCCCTGTGTCCATGTGTTCTCATTGTTCAACACCCACCTATGAGTGAGAATATGCGGTGTTTGATCTTCTGCTTTTCTGTCAGTTTGCTGAGAATGATGGTTTCCAGATTCATCCATGTCCCCTCTGTGCTTTCACTGGGAGCTGCAATCCTGAGCTGTTCCTAAACGGCCATCTTGGATCGTCCCTCGCAAATTTTCTATTTATTTATTTTTCCCTGCTGTGTTTAATTTTCTTTAAATTTATTTTAAAAATTGACATATAAAATTGTATGTACTTATTGTATAAAATATAATGTTTTGAAGTATACATTGTGGAATGATTACATGTAGCTAATTAACAAATGTATTACATCATCATAGTTATTATTTTTGTGATGAGACTACTTAATATCCATTCTCTTATCATTTTTCAACAATGTAATTTGTTGTCATTAACTGTAGTCATCATGTTGTACAATGGATCTCCTGACCTTAATACTCCCAAGTGTGATTATTTTTTGTTTTGTTTTGTTTTTTTTTTGAGACGGAGTTTCGCCCTCGTTACCCAGGCTGGAGTGCAATGGCGCGATCTCGGCTCACCGCAACCTCTGCCTCCTGGGTTCAGGCAATTCTCCTGCCTCAGCCTCCTGAGTAGCTGGGATTACAGGCACGCACCACCATGCCCAGCTAATTTTTTGTAGTTTTAGTAGAGACGGGGTTTCACCATGTTGACCAGGATGGTCTCGATCTCTTGACATTGTGATCCACCCGCCTCGGCCTCCCAAAGTGCTGGGATTACAGGCTTGAGCCACCGCGCCCGGCCTCCCAAGTGTGATTATGCATCCTTTGAACGACATCTCCCTAACCCCTTTTCCTTCCTAACCACCCCAGCCTCTAGTAATCACTATTTTAGTATTTCTATGAGATCAGTTTTTTTTTAGATTCCACATAGGAGTGAGATCATGACCTATTTGTCTATCTGTGCCTGGCTTTTTTTACTTAACGTAATATCCCTGTTTCATTCATAGTGTTGCAAGTGGCAGGATTTTCATCTTTTTCATGACTGAATATTATTCCATTGTGTATATATATATCACATTAAAAAATCCATTTATCCATGGATGGACACTTAGGTTGATTCCATATCTTGGCTATTGTGAGTAGTGCTGCAGTAAACATGGTGTGCAGATGTCTTTGACATGCTGATTTCATTTCCTTTGGATACATACCCAGTGATGGGATTTTTCTGGAACATATGATGGTTCTATTTTTAATTTTTTGAGGAACTTCCATATTGTTTTTCATTTCCACCAAAAAAGTAAAAAGAATAGCTGGGTATGGTGGTGCACAACTGTAATCCCAGCTACTTGGGAGGCTAAGGTGGGATGATTACTTCAGCCCAGGTATTAGAGGCTACAGTGAACTATGATCATGCCACTGCACTCCACCCGGTGCTACACAGCAAGACTGTGTCTCGCAAAGAAATAAGAGGAGAATAATGATTTCCACTTCACAGATTTGTACTGTTTAAATGAGGTAGTGTGTATAGAGTGCTTAGTACTGTGCATGGGATATATACTAGGTAGTAATATTGCAGATGATACAGAAGCAGCACATGCCTGTATTGTGAAGAAGTTTGGAGTCAATTAGATTGATATGTTTTTACTGCAATTAAAAAAAATACTGGTTTTGAGTCTTTTTGTTTTAGGAAAGAGGATTTTATGGGAAATGTATGCATAGGTTTAACAAGCGTATTGGTGTTTAAAATCACTCTAGTTGCTTCTCGTCTGTTTGCCATATTTTATTTATTTATGAATTTATATCCTATTTGACTCAGCAGATCATTTGAGGTGCATTATAATAAACCTGTACATTAAAGTGAGATGCAGAAATATGGATGCACTTGAAAGATTGGCTGAAGGATGATTAATATCCCTATTTATACATCCCGGGGTGGTCTTACACAGCTTCTAAAGGGAACAGTGACTTTGGCTTCTTGTGTAACTGTTTTGGTGTTTCTCTTTTTTTTTCTTTTTTGAGACGGAGTTTCACTCTTGTTACCCAGGCTGGAGTGCAATGGCGCGATCTCAGCTCACCGCAACCTCCACCTCCTGGGTTCAGGCAATTCTCCTGCTTCAGCCTCCTGAGTAGCTGGGATTACAGGCACGCGTCACCATGCCCAGCTAATGTTTTGTATTTTTAGTAGAGACGGGGTTTCACCATGTTGACCAGGATGGTCTCGATCTCTTGACCTCGTGATCCACCTGCCTCGGCCTCCCAAAGTGCTGGGATTACAGGTTTTTCTAGTTCAGTGGTTCTTAATGGGGAATGGGATGGTGAGGTAGTCCTCCTAGGGTATTTATCAGAACGTGGGTGGAGGTTAGTGTATAGTAAACATTATGCCTTATGTTTTTGAAATATAAAAGGTAGAATGTAAAGCTTGATCAAGTATTTGTGGCTGATGGGGATTCATGGAAGATGGAGTTACAAAGTATTGCAGAGCATTTGGCAGAGTAACCGTTCCTATGATAGTCTGCAATCACTTTCCTGGTAGAGACCTTTTCCCCTCTTTTTCGTGGACTCTCCCATGGCATCTGATACTGGTATTAAGGCACTTGAATCAGGTGCTGTTGATTAGCTTTCACTGGTCTCTGTAAGGTCTTCCCATTTCATTGTAGGCTTTCCCAACTCTTACCATTTCATCAATTGGAGCATGCATACTGTCTTCACTTTGGTTGCAATACATAGTTTGCATTTGAAAACTATTAAACCTAGTCAGATATCGTGATCCTTTTAGACTCATGACAAAGTAAGGTTTGGGGAAGTTATTAGCATTTGTTGCATGAGGTGGTGTCTAATGTGTGACTTGCTGCCAAAGTCAGGTGCTGCTGCCTAAGTTGAGGTGGAAGGAAACAGTAGGGAGTGGGCAGCCTCGGGGCCATCTTGGTTTGTCACAGAAGCTGGATTGTTGGCACACCTGTCTTAGAGTCAACCTGGACTTAAAGTGCTTGTGTGTTGTGTTTGTCTGCATTTCTCTGTCTTTTCAGTTTGCTTAATGCTGCAATTGCTTTTATGTTACCTACTTCTGTAAAATAAATACATTTTTACCTTAGGAGGAGATGCAGTGTTATACCTTAGTTGTATTATGTGTCCTTCAGTGGAGAAATATGTACCTAAAAAGGGATAATTAATGTCTGGTGTTCTATTTCTGACTTGGGCAGTGCATTGATCCTTTTTTAGTCTGTACTGGGTTTCTGGTGGGTGGTAGATTCTGAATCCTTACGACATAGAATAGAAAGCCTTAATATGAAGTGTTCAAAAAGGAAACACTGATATTTTTCATTCTTTGACCTATATGTAAATAAATTGGATTTTAAATCTGAAATTTCTAAGAAGTTTCAGTGAATAAATATTGGCTGTCCATGGGGACCATTTTGCATCTCTTGTTGCTGAGTGATTGACTTAACCTTGGTCATATTAAAGGTGAATGGGTAAGGTTAAACAGATTCTATTAATGTTTCTTCAGTTGGCCAGTTAAGGAAAGGTCAGGCTTTGGCAGCTGTCAGCCTTACAGACAAAGGGTTTCTGTGCTGTTGCAGTCCAGAATCTGAGAGCAGCTTATAATTTACTTGGATGTTTTTTAAAGCCTCCTTAAGACAGTCAAAAAATAGTTTTTATTGGCTTGGCAATACTAGTGGATCTAATGGCAGGATGCTTTTCATTAGAATAGCACTGAATGGCAGGGACAGTGAAAATGAGCATTCTTAAGGATGTGAAAGAATATTGTGTGTGTCACAAATGATAACTCTACCTCATATTAAAAAGACTTAGTGTTCAATGCCATTTATGTTCAGGGTCCTGAGGGCTGTTAGGCGAGGGCAGGTGAAGCTGGTTACGTCATTGCCTGTCTCATTGAAAACAGGTAAGCATAAAACTTTGAATTACTTTTGTTTCTTTAAAAGTAGCTTTTCTTAGCCTGAGCCTGACATTTAATATGTGTTTTTCATCCCTTTTAGTTTAAAGCCTTAATTTCTTTTATCTTAGAAATTATTTCATGTCATTCTTGCTTGGTAACTACTTTGCAGTGAAGATGAATTCAAGTTTAATTTGTCATTTGTTATTGAAAATGTCAGTTATGAATTTATTAGGAGCTTTTGGAGGCTTTTCTCCAGTTAACATTGCAACATTGAGTTTACATTGATTTAATAGTTTTAGGTGTATAGAATTTTAAAATACTTTTGGTATTCTGTCATTATTTCTGAGATATTGCAAGGTGGCTTTAAATAATCATAGTTTTTTGATCATTTTGCCCTTTGCTGTATTGTTTTTATCGTTTATTGGTATAGTGTCGGTTGTCATAGTTTGTTTGGAATGTGTATTCATTATCATGGTCTACTCCATTTTTATTATGTAAAATATGCGTATGCCATGCATGGCCGTAAGGAAGACTTTATTCAAGCGGTGGGCGGCTACTATAATGTGGTTTTGTAGTAGGGAAGAGAGATACGGTCAAGTTGCAATATGATAGGTTAAGTGGGCATTTGGGGCAGGGGTCAGGGTGGATGGAAAAGTATTAAGAGGTAGTAAACTGACCTAAGGAATTTTGCTGAAGGCAGTCTAGGATCATAAGATATTGAAGATGGTCAGACTAAGGGTAAGTGATTTTCTGTAAACTTAGTAGGATTCTGAGACTGAATTAGCAGGCCCTATCATGAAGAGGTTTCGGGTGCTTGGCTGGAGTTAGGTCAAGGAGACAGTCTTTGTCAAGGGTCAAACATAGCTTCTGAATAGGGAAATAAATTGTTTTATGTTCCAAGGCTGTGAACATAAAACATAGGCAAGATTGACAGTCCCAAGGAGGCTACTCTCTGAGTGTTGAGTGAATGTTTAATGTCTAGAAAAAATACTGGCTGAATTCAAAATATTTGTCTCATTTCCGTTTCATGAACACTAGACATCTTTAAGATAAGTATAGTAAAATTGAGTACTTATTTTTTTTCAAGATTAAATATTAGATAATAGGTATTTGTTATATATGAAATGAACTCTTCTATTGAATTGGATTTGAGAGATTATGTTGCTTTGTAAACTGTTATTCTGTTTCTTGGGAAGTTTATGATTTAGAAAGAGAACTGTGTATTTCTGTTACAATTGTATGCCTTTTTACCTTCTTTCAAAATGATTTAAATGAAGGCATTAACATAGGGCTTCCGCTTTATAAGTAAACACTTCAAGTATAATACTTTTGTTCTCATAGTAGTTTTTGGCATCAAAAAATTATAGAAGCCAGTCTTGTATTATTTTATATATATTTATTGGGCAGTTATAGTAAAATATTGATACATTTTATATTTGGAGAATAGAGACAAGTTTCAGTTTTCTAGTTAGTTGAGGCCTAACCATTTATGCATATTGTAAAAAAAATACTGCATGGCAGATGGTCTTAGTGGCAATATTTTAGAGTTCACAGAATTTGGATTTTTCTAATCAACCTACAAAATTAGATTCTGCTCATGATAATATGGTTTAAACCTAGAGATGCTATGGCAAAATGTGAAATTTCAAGCTTAATTACCCTTGAAGGCTAAAATTAACATATGCAGAAATTTCCAAAATGACTTGTGAAAGTCATTTCTCTTTTTTAAAGTTTTCATACAGCTTTTCAGTATAGAACTCTTTATATTCTCATTGTTCATCATGGCCTTTCATGCCTACAACTTTTACCCTTGAAAAAGAAAGTATGTCTTTAAATTAGCTAAAGTTTCCCCCACACAGAGCTATGTCCTAATTGTTTTATAATGAATGATATATATATATATATATTTTAATTGTATTTTTTTTTTTTTTTTGACAGAGTTTCGCTCTTGTTACCCAAGCTGGAGTGCAATGGCGCGATCTTGGCTCACCGCAGCCTCCGGCTCCTGGGTTCGGGCAATTCTCCTGCCTCAGCCTCCTGAGTAGCTGGGATTACAGGCACGTGCCACCATGCCCAGCTAATTTTTTGTAGTTTTAGTAGAGACGGTGTTTCACCATGTTGACCAGGATGGTCTGATCTCTTGACCTCGTGATCCACCCGCCTCGGCCTCCCAAAGTGCTGGGATTACAGGCGTGAGCCACCGTGCCTGGCCCAATTTTTTTTTTTTTTTTAAGACAGGGTTTCACTCTGTCTCCCAGGCTCAAGTACAGTGACATGATCTTGGCTCACTGCAACCTCCGCCTCCCGGGTTCAAGAGATTCTCCTGCCTCACACTCCCTAGTAGCTGGAATTGTAGGCATGTGCTGTGTGCTACCATGCCTGGTTGATTTTTGTATTTTTAGTAGAGATGGGGTTTCACCATTTTGGCCAGGCTGGTCTCAAACTCCTGGCTTCAAGAGATCTATCCACTTCAGCTCCCTAAAGATCTAGGACTATAGGTGTGAACCACCATGTCCGACCTATATATACACTTATATATGTATGTATATACGCAGACATGTATATTTAGATCCTCAAACAATGAAATTAATTATACTAAATATCATTTCTAGTGTTAAATATTCTCTGTAATTTTACATTATAAAGTATGGTTTCCTGAAAGTGGTTCCAATCCAGATGCCAAGACAGGGTTCTTGGATCTCATGCAAGAAGGAAGTCGGGGTGAGTCCATAGAGTAAAGTGGAAGCAAGTTCATTAAAAAAGTAAAGAAACAAAAGAATGGCGACTGTGTAGGCAGAGTAGACCCATAGACTGCTTGCTGGTTGGCTGTTTTTATGGTTATTTCTCGATCATAGGCTAAACAAGAGGTAGATTATTCATGAGTTTTCCAGGGAAGGGATGGACAATTCCCAGAACTCTGGGTTCCTCCCCTTTTTAGACTATATAGGGTAATTTTTGGATGTTGCCAGGGCATTTATAAACTGTACTAGTGCTGGTGGGAGTATTCTTTAGCATGTTAACACATTACAGTTAGCATATAGTGAGCAGTAAGGACGACCAGAGGTCACTTTCATGGCCATCTTTGTTTTTGTGGGTTTTGGCTGACTTCTTTAATGCATCCCGTTTTATCAGCAGGATCTTTAGGACCTGTGGCTTGTCATAACCAGTCTTGCCAACTCCTCTCATCCTGTGTCTGAGAATGCCTGAGCTCCTGGGAATGTAGCCCATCAAGTCTGAGCCTCATTTTATTCAGCTTCTATTCAAGATGGAGTTGCTATAGTTCTACTAGAGCCTTTTGACAGTGTTACTGATGTTTTTTGAAGGTGTTCTGAAAAAAAGATACTGAGCTTTTAAATATATACATTTTAAAAAGAAAATTCCATAAAGAATATAACCTTTCCCTCTTGCCTCGAAGTTCCCTGAAAATTTAATTCTTTTTGGCTGAAGTCTTGTGTCATAGTCGTTCAGAGGCTAGGTCAGACTGCAGTATCTTAGGTCTTTTGGATGAGAATAAGAACCAGGGATTTGGAGGGTTAATGTAGTTGTAAAGATAACCATTTTGTGTTCTTAGTCTTTGAGTGGCTTAATATGAGTTACAAAAGTAGAAGGAAGTAGTTGTGTAACAAATCTGTTTGGCCCAGTCCCCATGAATATATCTCTTCTGCTACTCCCCACCCTTCTGAAGGCATACGTAGGGCAACAGCACAGTTAATACCCCTATTCTGGACTTGTCTCCATTTATTCTCTACCTGTTTCTGGTTGCTTATCTCCATGACTTTGAAATACCTTGTGCCATACTTCAGCTATTGATAGCTGCCTCCTGTCTGGCTTTGCTTCCTGTTCATCCGTGATCAAAGTGTGCTCCCTCCATTCCAAGAGAATTCTTATGTTACCTTGGAATATGTTACCTGGAATATATTACCAAATATATTCCAGTTCCCTTTAGTTGGTCCAAGGAATAAGGCTTCTATGTGAATATTAGAAAACCCACAGCACTGTTTCCAGACTTGCATGGGGTCCTCGTTTTCTAAAGAAGGAATATTTACTGAATGTTATATAAGTAATGGACTTACTAAGATTTAGATCTGTCTAGTGATGTAAGGAGGCTAAGGAGAGATTATCACTAACAGCTAACATTTGTAATGGGTTTATTGAGTGTCAGGCACTTTGGTAAATGCTTTACATGGATTGTATACATTTAACTTCTTCTTTTTCTTTAGTAGAGACAGTCTCGCTCTGTCGCCTAGGCTGGAGTGCAATGGCATGATCACAGCTCACTGCAGCCGTGAACTCTTGGGCTCAAGGGTCCTCCCACCTCAGTTCCAGTAGCTGGGACTACAGGTGCATGCCACCATGCCTGGCTAATTAATTTTTTCTTTTTCTTTTTCTTTTCTTGTTTTTGTCTCTTTTATAGAAATAAGTTCTTTCTGTGCTGCCTAGGCTGGTCTTGAACTTCTGGCCTCAAGTGAGGTCTTGAACTTCTGGACTCAAGTGGCCCTTGCACCTTGGCTTCCCATAGTGCTGGAATTACAGGTGTGAGTAACTGTGAACAGCCAAGTTTATGTAATTAATCCTCACAACAGCTTCACGCGGAAACTGAAGCTCAAAGAGGTTAAATAACTTTCCTTAAAATCAGACTTCTATATATTTAGAGATGTATAAGTCACAAAGCATGTTACTAAATATATGAGTAGATTTCTTCACACCTTAACTACTGAAATGAAGTGGAATAGATGCTGACATTTAAGGTGACAAGGCCCATCAAAAGTGTTATACAAACACAGGTGTGACTTAAGAGATTTATATTAATGTAGGAAATTAAAGCATTAACTGTAATTTTACTGAGATGTTTCATTTTAGCTGACAGTTGTTGGCAGGAATGGAAACTAAATATATTAAATATACCATTAGTAGTTTTCTCAATATAATATGTGTACCATCTTTAGGAAAAACATTATATTCACACAACTTAGGTTGTTGAGTTTGTTTTTTAGCCCATGGTTTTT